GCTCCCGGCAGTTCAAATGCTCCGAGCTGGCGCATCCCCAGCGGTCAGTGCCCGGCCAACGAGTCGGCCGCAGACTGGGCAATCCAGCTCGCTGCCGTCGCTCTTGACGTCCAGACTTCTGACGACATTTTTAACGATTGGGAGACTGCTGAAGTCAACAATGTGAGCATGTCGATCCACGCTACTGTCTTCATTATATCCGCAACACCGCAGCTTCAGCGTATAGTCAGTAAAGGTAGCTCATGTGTCTATGACTTTGTGCCGTTATCAACCATAGAGAATGTCATGATATACCCTGAGATCAGAGTTTCATGGGCCGCGCTGCGAGGGCTGCTTCGCCCGGTGCCAAAGTCGTGTGGGGAGGATACTCATGATACAGGCTGTGGGTGCCATCCTCAATGATGTGGGATCTTGATATTCTTTGCTATGATGGTTTGGCTGTTTGTTCTTGGATGCATTATCTAAGGTGATGCACAATAACGAGATATAAGTAGAATTCAATTGTCATATACTCCCCGTGCCATACTAGAATTTTTCTTGAATATAGAAATGCCAATGCATGAGCGTAACGGACAGAATACTAGGCCATGCCATCCTTATGTTGGGGATTGGCATGTTTCTTGCAGGACAAGTAGAACTTTCCTCGACGAAGGGAGCATCTAGGGAAAGAATATTTATAATACTAGTTTAATAACTTGCAATCAGCATGTCTCTCGTTGAAGTAGATTTGATCTTTCATAAAGTGTAGTTCCGATAGAGCCCATGTTCTGTTGCTCATTTCCGTGATGATAGCTAGCTTTCAAAGTTGTACTTCTTTCTCGCCCGTCCCTCAATTAATGACGGCCAAATGTAGTAGAGGTGATGTGCAAGGGCATATGGAAACCAGGGGATCACCACATTGTCTCTCACTCGACCATCAACAGCATCGACACACCTCTTTGCGACATAGTCCAGCTTAAGGCCATGCTTGTTAGGAGCTGCTTCTTGAGTCGGGTTGGCGTCAACGGCTGAAGCACGAAAATTGCCCTCAATAGTAGCCGGGAGAACGAATGTGAAAGCAATCTTGGGATGCTCGATAGCAAGCGACTGGAATAACAGTAGTGAGGAAGCCTTGGTAGCAGCATAGAGCGCACGCGTTGGTGCCGGCACCACGGCAGCGACGGACGATATGAGGAGGATGGAGGGCGACTTGGAGGTACGTGTCAACATGGGAATGAACGTCACCGCCGCAATGAAGGGCCCATAAACGTTGCCTTCGGTCGCACGAGCCACGATATCAGCAGCCTTTCGAACCCCAGGAAGATCTGCATCCTCCTCTCCCGACTTCACGCCAGTCAACGCCATGACAGGCTGCACTGCCGAGACTCCCGCGCACACGTGGAGAGAATCCAAGCCACCCCATTCAGCGAGCAGCCTCTCCCTCACCCGTACCATATCTTCCGCACTAGTAAAGTCGGCCACAACCCAAATGCAGCTGTCTCCCAGTTCCCTGGCCAGTATAGAGAGCTGTTCCGCGCGGCGCGCGACGATGCATATCCGAGCATCACGAGCGGCATACCTCTTTGCTACTGTGCGTCCAAGCCCACTTGAAGCCCCAAGAATCAGGACGCGTTCCTCGTTCGCTTTAATGGTTTTTGTCCTCTTTCCGCCATTAGCCTTAAGGGTCCGTTGGACCAAGTAAGAAACGGCGGCTGCTGCGAGAACCGTGCCCGTTAAGGCCCCTGGATTGATGGCCGGCAACGAGGGCAACATTGTTGGTACGCAAGTCAGTGCTCCAACCCTAACTCTTCCGAACTTCAGAAGGGTAGTCTGAGCAACGAAGACCTCCGTTAGATCCTTTCCGAAGCTTCGATGTTCTGCGGTTCAAACGACGGAGGTTCACAGATACCGGATGATGCATGGTCCGTGCATGAGTACACCGTCAAATTGAATATTTCCGAAGATAATATTGCATAAAATTTAACACTGTTAAATTTATAAACCCATCATCAACTGTCTTTGATACGCATCTACTTCGAAATGTAACGGTTCATAATTAGAAATGCTCTCATATGGCAGCGACCTGGACTATGAAGATGAGGGCAGCCAGTGTTCAACGCATGTAAAACTGTTTGAATCCAACGGGCGGTCAACAGGGCGGTCGTTCTTGGCGACAACATTGTTCCACCGGGCTTAGCATAAGACATTGATCATGAAAAGAATCTCGAAATCAAGCGACTTCAACAATGACACTTGCAATTGCTATTATTCTTATCGTCAGCTAAGATTTTATCACTAATAGTCACCATAATTGAATGCTGGTTTAGATCTCGGTGAGCCTTGAAACAAGGTGGGTATAAAGTAATCTGTTGCTATCATAGCTGGTGATTGGTTCTCACGCTGTGCTATAGATACGTATGAATAAAATGGAACGATTCATGGAAGAAACGCGTAGTAGTAGGCTCATCGATAACGTGAATAACCCCCGAACGAAGGGCCGTTAATCCTCGGCACTACCGTCTTAGCCCACTGGGCAGACGTGCCCCTATCGCCTGCCAAGCTGATAAACCCCAAATCTTGGTTGGAGATGAGTAAAAAGAGTGCGAAAGAGCAAAATCAACCCCTGTCGACGCCTCTCATTATCTTTGGAGATGACATGAAAGCTGCTCGTCATGTTACGCTCGAACCCGGCGAGCCCTTGGCCCCGGACGACTCAAATACCCGGGTCGCTAGCCGCACGACAGATTCGATCTGAGCAGTTGGAACTTGACCTTTCACCGCAGGCAACATCTTCGCGCAGCTAATCTAGTTATCGCAAAGGTCGCAGCAGTTATGGGCGCCGAGAAGGACATCGATCTTAGTCCGTCACGGACGACGAGCCATACGCAGCCGGGCGTCGTCCTTTCGACGTCCGATCAATCGCTCAACGAGACGAAACGCGGTCTCAGCCCTCGCCATGTGCAATTGATGGCCATCGGAGGGTCCATCGGAACGGGTCTCTGGGTAAGTGCAATTGCCCCTCGATAATAACGAGTTGAGAGTCGAGCTGACAGATCGCCAAGGTCGGAATCGGTGGCGTGTTGAGTGAAGCTGGACCGCTGTCCCTGATCCTCGGATACGCGTTTTGGGGCCTGCTGTACGTCTGGCCCCTGAACTTGTGCGTTGCCGAGATGTGCGCATATCTACCCATCCGAGGCTCGATCTTCGAGCTGGCTTCGCGCTTCGTCGACCCGGCCCTGGGTTTCGCCATGGGCTGGACGTATTTCTTCGCCGGCACCATGCTCGTCTGTGTCGAATGGTCGGCCGTGGCTACTGTCATGCAGTACTGGGTTCCGGACGTCAATCCGGCGGCCTGGATCGCGATGGCTCTAGTCATATGCTTCTTCCTGAACGTTGTCGCCGTCAAATGGTACGGAGAGTCGGAGTTCATTATGGCTTCCACCAAGGTGTTGCTTCTCTTTGGACTCTGCCTCCTCACACTGATCACCATGAGCGGTGGCAATCCCCAACATGATGCGTACGGCTTCCGCAACTGGGGAAATGGTAACGCTATGCACGCGTACTACACGGATGGGGCTACAGGACGGTTCTTAGGCTGGTGGGAAGTTGTCATCTACGCTGGTTTCACCATCGCCGGTCCCGATATGATTGCACTCGCCGCTGGAGAAATCCAGAACCCACGTAGGACGATCCCTCGCGTCGCGAAGCTCATTTTCTACCGCCTTGTCGGGTTCTACATCGTCGGCGTCTTGTGCGTCGGCATCCTCTGCTCGTCGCGTGACCCGGGCCTATTGGGTGCCATTGAGAACAGCGAGCCGGGCGCTGCCGCATCCCCATGGGTGATTGGCATTAAAAACCTGGGTATCCCGGTCCTACCACATATTATCAACGCGTTAATCCTACTCTCCGGCTGGTCTTGCGGAAACGCCTATCTCTACGCGGCTTCGAGGACATTGTATGGACTTGCCAGAGGTATGCCCTTCTAATCACGTCGTATAAAAAACGGGCCAAATAAAGACTAACGTGTGTGTGTTGCAGACGGCCAGGCGCCCAAGTTCTTCGCCAAGTGCACCAAAGATGGTGTACCAGTTTTCGCTGTAGCTGCCGTCGCTCTGATCTCGTGCATCACCTTCCTCGTCTCATCCAATAACGCCGCCGAGGTCTTCTTCTGGTTTGTCGATCTCACCACGACCGCCCTGATCATGTCGTACACCATGATGATGATCACCTACGTGGGATTTTACCGCGCTCGCACTTCGCAGGGCATGGACCCGGCCACGCTCCCCTACAGAGCGCCGTGGGCTCCCTACAGCACATACTTCGCGCTGATGCTCGGTATCTTGGCACTTATCTTCGTCGGCTTCGACGCCTTCGTGCCATTTGACGTCCGCGGATTCGTCACGAACTACTTTGCTCTCGCTTTTGGCATCTTCATGTACTTGGTGTGGAAGGTGTTTCGACGCACTAGTTTCGTGAGTCCAAAGGATGCAGACCTCATCTCGGGCAAAAAGGAGGTCGATGATGAGTGCAAGCATTGGGAAGAAGGTGGCATCGAGGAGGTAGAGAGGCAGAGACTAGCTCAGATGAGTATCGCGAGGAGGTTTTGGGAAAGATTATGGTAGTTTTGTTCCATGGCGTCTAAGACCAATTTAAAGACTTGATGGCGGCGTGTCACATTGGCGGAACATACCTAGGTACAATTCTGATGAATACTATGACCTGAACCACTGTTGCCCAATCAAGTGTGCGATCTTCTAGGAGTAAACTACTGCCAGTTACTAGCATAGAGCCATATAACAACTACTCATGAAATAGGAGAGGTTCTATTACGATTCAATTGACTGCCAATTCGCGTGTTACGTCTCCACTTATAAGGGTCGAGCCCAGGACTCTCCTAGGTGCATATACATAACGAATTAACAGAACTACAAAGAGGAGAAAAAAGAAAAATGAGACTAAGAAAAATGAGACTGAGAAAAATTTATTTAGAGAAATTACAATGGGGAAAAAGAGAAGAGTATCGACGCAGGCCTGATTCGAACAGACGCTCCCGAAAGAACAAGATTTACTAGACTAATTCTAGTCTTGCGCATTAGACCACTCTGCCACTGCGCCCGTTCTCATAGCTAGATTAACTTAGCCCAGTGAAGAAGATAGGAACTAAGCATGGCATATATACATATCAATTGAGATGAAGACTCAAATGAAGACACATAGTAGGAAGTAGTAATTGCTAGTATTTGTAAAAAGCTAAAATGAATCAATGTCGTAATTCATTCCTGCTTTCTAGAAGAATAGTGTCCGACCCGATGCTATCGAACTAAACTTGATGCGCGATCTACATGACCGTGCAGCCATTGCTACTCTGGCCGCTTCCGCTGGCGTGGAGGCCATCGTCAGTGTCGCTGAAGTCGAAGAGACCCTTGTTGGGTCGCTGGGGCTTCTTCATGTTAGACTTGTTAATTGCCATTGCGGTGATGAGTGTTGATTTGCTTTGTAATTAAAAATTGTGTTTTTGCGGGTTTCTCTTTCTGATTTGATGGTAATGCGAGTGTGTTTTGTAAGTTTGTGAGGTGAGAGTTCGTTGACGGGGCCAATAGTCAGTTATATAGTCGTGCAAGGTGGCAAGGTTCTTGCGCATATCTTTGTTCTCAGTGAATCACGAAAGCCTGGTCTTCTCTTTGAGCGCAGCAGATAATTAATTGTCTAACTTACTTTCTTTGTGACCTTCTTGTTAGCTATAATAATGACATTGCCACCGGCATTATCCTCATGATGTCAAGAGCTAGCTGTGTAGAAAGGGTTTCTCGTTCAATTGTAGACTTCCAGAGAGCAAAGAGGTTCCAGGCAAGACGTAGAGCGTACCATTGTCAACAGCTGCGTCCTCTTTCACATAGCTGTAGAAACATGGGCTAGAACTACGGATTCTCTTACTTCGTGGCTAAAGGAAAGACCCGAGTCGGAATATCATGCTATTAGCAATTGCAGCAGTACATTGTATTTTCTGTGTATACCACAGCAAGATACGGAAGCCTTCCAGTAAAACACAAGGGTAGAACTCTATGCTCTCTACCATTCTATGAGTCAGCGAAGCTTACATGAAGTGACGTAGATCAACTTAGTTTCAGTGTCTCTACAGCTGATATACGTTGTCATACATGATGGGAAAATCAAGGGCTTACCAAATATGGCTATACGGCACAAGGCGTTTAAGTTGAATAATATCCACTAGTATTCATGATATGATCCTAATAACTCCTCCTCATCAGCTCCATAGTATAAGCTGAACTGTCTGCTACTCCTCTCTATAAACGATAGTGACAAACATTAACGTTGCGAAGAAAAAAGTAAAGAGGGTAATCTAATATCATTTTCATGAAACATGCTAAAGATGAGGAGGCTTAGGTGTATTCTATTTAGTGACTGCTTCTCAATATTTTCGATAAGATCGTAATACCAGCATAGAAGTTTGGCTTCTGCTAAGTGCTTAGTTACAATTAGCTTGTATTATGGTCATCATCAGATGCTCTGTAACTAACAATAACATCACCACTTCATAAAAATTAAGTCAATTGCTTTAACTCTCTCAATAAAATCGATATCTACTGCATGTTCCAGCTTGATGAGAACGAAGATATAAAAAATCGTGCGGCCATGTAGTACGCCTTGAGCTACCACGTAATCGCATGAGCCGTGAATGCCACGTTCTTGTGGATCTGGTGGTGTTGTTCTCTACCGCTTATTTGTGATTCTCCGCCGGCAAACGACGGATATTGTCAGACCCAACGATCCGTTAGCGCGGAGAGCGGCTACGGCCGGTTACTTAGTACATATAGCAAGGTCGCCAGTATTAGTAATTGAGCTGTCTGAATGGGCAGCTGGATCATAAGGTAGTGAATGTATGCATTGAATGCCGGTCCCTTCATTCACTCGGCCGCGAAAAGCAGTGAATACAGTTCGGTTCTCCAGCTTACCTAACTTTAGAGGAATAACCTAAACCTCGTCTCTTGGATAATACTTTAGTTTGGCGTGTTTGTGCTTATTCTGCCTATCAATCCCACTGGCTTACCTAGGTACTCTTCTACTGCACTAAATACACCGTACGTATACACCTACCTAGAGCAAGCAAGCAGTCAGCAGTCAGCACCAAACAGCAAGATGTCGCTCGCCGCAGAACCCTCGATGGACCTCCCCATCATCGATCTAGACATCTTCCTATCCTCGGACCCCTCGTCGCCCGAAGTGCAGTCCGAGTGCGCCAAGGCCGCGTCGGCGCTCATCACCTACGGCGCGCTGATCCTGCACGACAGCCGGGTCAACGCGGACGACAACGAGGCCTTCCTGGACCTGCTGGAGGACTACTTCGCGCAGCCGGCCTCCGTCCTGCGCGCGGACGAGCGCCCGGAGCTCAACTACCAGGTCGGCGTCACGCTCGAGAACACCGAGAAGCCCAAGTGCGCCGTCGACGAGCCGTGTCTGGCCGTCATCGAACGCCTGGCGCCGAGCGAGCGGCCCCTCGATATCGCAGGCCACCAACCCGATCCCAAGTGTCGCTTCTTCTGGCGCATGGGCGAGCGGCCCCCGTACCAGACGCAGTTCCCGGGCCTTAATTCCCCCAATGTGGTGCCCGCGATCGACGGCATCAAGGAGCGCTGGACGCCGATTATGGAGACGTGGGGGAATGCTATGAAGAGCGCGTGAGTATTCATGACTTGATATATAAGACCTCGCCACTTAGCTTTTACTTGACATGAAGAGAAATGAAGTGAAGTGAGCTAGGGTGGTGAGATGGTGTGTGAGTGAGTGAGCGAGTGAAGCAAATGAAGACTAACAGGCCTGTCTGGAAATAGGGTCTCCGCCCTCGCCGAAATGGCAGCCATCGGCATGGGTCTGCCCGCCGCAACCTTCAGCGACGCTGGGCGATACGGGTAAGCCTCCATCTTCATCCATCCATCCCATCCCATCCCATCCCATCCCATCCCATCTCCCATCCCATCCCCTCCCATCTCACCTCAACCCAAGTACCCACCCCGCTAACACACACAACCCCTAGCCCGCACGCCCTAGCGCCCACGGCCTCGGACCTGCGCAAATACGGCGCGCCCTCGACGATCCTGGCGGGCTTCCACACGGACCTGAACTTCCTGACGATCCACGGGCGCAGCCGGTACCCCGGTCTGCACATCTGGGCGCGCAACAGCGGGCGCCGGATCGCCGTGTCCATGCCCTCCGGCCCCTATTTACTCGTGCAGGCCGGCAAGCAGCTGGAGCACCTGACGGGCGGGCTCGTCAAGGCCGGCTTCCACGAGGTGGTGGTGAGCGAGGCGACGGCGCGCGCGATCGCGGCGCGCCGCGAGGCCGCGCCGGACCGCCCGCTCGTGCGCATTAGTAGTACCCTGTTCTGGCACCTGAGCAGTGATTACGACCTCGTGCCCGTGCCGGCGCTCGTGCGGCGCGCGCAAGAGGTCCGCGCTGAGGCGCTGGCGAGGGGGTGGGATGAGGGCGAGGAGGGGGTGTATGTGGGGATGAAGGTTGGGGAGCAGGTGCAGAAGTAAGTCGACTCTCTCTCTCTCTCTCTTTCACCTGTACTGATCATGGTGTCCTTGCCTGTTGACATTGGGACTTCTGGTTGCCGTGTTACTGACGACGGTCTAGTGAGCTGAAGCACATCGCGCTGATGGTGTGAGATCTACCCCAATCTGATTGATGATATCTATGACATATATGCGGAATACTGAGAATCTTGTTTTATATATTGAGCGTAAGCGTTGTATTTTCTCTAGATATATGGACAAATCACGAACAATTTGCCACGCATCATGATTTGGTAGTAGAGGTGTATGTATCTGCGTCAGACATATCCCAATCGGCAAATAGTAAGCGAGTTCATAATTCTCTCGAGGCAAACATATGCGTAGGGGAAGATGAAATATACAAAACAGCATTACTGCCCAACTCCAGATACGAGGGGTCATTGAGGCTTAGTTGTCATCCGTTGTACAGAACGGCTACGTACTACGTTTGCTTGCACATGCAGCTTTCCGAGAAAAGCCTATGCAAACCCCGTCAAAGGTATCACAGATCATCGTCGTACTTGAGAGACGCAGAGAGGACCAAAGGTCAAGGGTGTAGCAAAACAAGGAACCAGTCCATGTTATCTTCCTAACTGGATTCAGTTTCAAAGGCTTTGCCCGAGCTCTCTAATAGTTCTTTTATGACAAATAAAAGTGCGCCCATAACGCCATACAGTTTAAACCCCAGCAATCCCGGACAGGAGTGAACTTTTATTGCCTGTTGCAAATGAATACCCCCCCCGAAATTACACGTGTACGCTGACTCCCAAATATCAAATACTTCTCCGGCCCGGGTCACTCTCAAATGCTATCATGGGGTGTATAATACTAATGAACCTGGATTTCCAACGTCGTGGCCGAGGCTAGATGTAAAGCAAATGTTTCCAGCCGCCTACGTAGTAGTTTGCAGGGCGACTAATATGCCGGATCCCGCTTCATGGGAATGGGCGGTGCCGGTTTCTTGGCTCTGCTAGGTGGAGGTGGTGGGGGCGCTTTCTTCACTATTCCCGACGTGCGTAGACCGTTGTTGCTCGGGGTTCGACTGAGACTTCCATAGCTGGTTGCTGGGCTCTCGCTGCGGTCATACTCCGGACTTCCACTGCTAGTGGTGGTGTCATAGTCATCGTTGTAGACATCAGGGCTCAGATTCTGGTTGCTAGTTTGGATCCTGTTCACCGGGCGCAGATTGTTCCGCAGGTTGGTCACGTTGGATGGCACTGTGTTCGTCTTGCGTAGTAGACTGTTTTCTGGTAGCGGCGGCGGAGGTTCACGGTAGGTAGGCTGTTGTCTCGAAACTGGTCCTTCAAAGGTACCGGCGGAGGTGGAGGCCCGGTGGATAGTCGGCCTGGATGATTCGGGAGATGTCGACCCACGGGAGCGGATGGGCATTCGCACGGGTTCGGGGGCTGGCTCTTCCTGCTCGTAGATGTCCTGTCGATTTGCCCATCGCTCTGTGCGGTCATTGCGTTCGACGTGGGAATGAGCAGTATTACTCCTACTCCGAGCCGCGGGACGGCGTGATGTGCTATACTCCGATCGAGA